TATATATATATATATAGATACGTAAATTAAAAAGTCCTTCCGAAGCGGGCGACGGGATTTCGATTCCGGCTGCCGACAGCTTCTTACGGGCGACCCCCCCAAACAACCTTTCTTCTCTTTTTTGTGCCGACAGTTGATAGCATTTTACATTGCTAGCAACATGAACAAGTAAATTATTTTCAAACATTGAACCGGCTAGAAATCCCAAGTGCATAACATTTACATGAACGGGGATGCTAAAACACATCCTTCAGCCAAATTTTATGCATTCCGTCTACAATTTTTCATATATTCATAATCATTTTAAAGGAACTTTTTAATTATAACTGATCAAGTAGCTTTTTGTGTCAAGGATGCTAAAATCTTTCAAAATTTTACATTTTCAACAAAAATTTCCTATGCGAGAAAAAGGGATTTTTTAAAGAAGTAAATATATCACGAGTCTAAAACTAAATAAATGCTCTCATAGATTTTTGTGAGCAATTGTAACCAAATTCATTAAAAATAGAAGTCCACTAGCACTACCCTCCATCTGAACCCATCCACTGATAGAAAGGTAGAAGAAATAGACAAATTTTGTAGGAAAGGCGAGAATTAGCTCTCGCATAAATAATACTTGGAGGTGAAATGTGGAGGGCAAAACGATATTATGTCATTATTGAGATACAAAATGATTAACTTGTATTGGTCGAGAAAATAAGATATAAAATGTAGACAAGCAAAGAGAAGGCATATCTTAGGACGGGGAGATTGGCTAGATATTTTAATAAATAGTCTCTTAGTTGAATGTTATGACTACAAAAGTGATGAAAAGTTAAACGTAGAAATTTGATGAGCTATATTTTAAAGAATATGAGCATTTGTAGCTAGTGAACATTTTACTGAAAACCATAATAGCAAATGAGAAGCTTTAAAATTATGATAAGTAAGAGAAATCCAATTTATAAATAGTACGTACAGTTATGAGAGATGATAATGAAATATAGTGGAGTTATATAGGCAATGTATGATTAAGGTATTATGAGTATTTGAAATAATTTGCAAAGATAAACCCTAAGGATGATGAAGAAGATGATAAATTATTTTGTAGAAAATGGAGGAAAATACTCAATTCCATGTGATAATCACATCTTACCGATGATGCAATGAATAAAATGAAAGGATTTAAATGGCATATAGCAGATAACGAATAAAATGCAATTCAAGCTACTTACATTGCAAGGAGCTTGCCATCATGTGATACACTGATTGCAGATATTGGGTCACGCGCAATCTTTTTGGAACTGATTCTCTTCCATGAAGTGGTGCTCCAAGAAATGATCTTTCCCACATCACCTGCAACATGAAAATTTAAAGGAATAGATCATGAAATAGAGAGCAATAGAGAGCCATCAACGGCAGATTCCCTCAAACAAAACATAAAAGAACAAGGTGGGTTTGCTTCCACAATAACAAAAAGAAAATTATCAGCAGAGAGATTTACCATGCCTCGCTATAACATATAGGATATCATTATGCTCAGAAAACCTGCAGAAATTAAAACGCTGGAAACGAGAGGGGTTAGAAAATTTATTGCCTAATATATAGAAAACATTCAGCTATGTCTGATGCTTGCTTACTTCCTCTACTTGTAGACTTGGTAAAGCAGTTGATGATAACAGATCCCAAACCTTGCAAGGGCCATTGTCTCCTAAGGAAACAAGGAACTTGCCATCTGAGCTGTTGAATATATGATGGAGCATAAGAATCGAGCCGTAATTAAATCCAAGCTCAATTATTCAATAGAAGCGAAGACATAAATATATTTCTGCTTCAGATTTTCTAAATAAGGATCCAAAGTACCTGAAATCCACATGCTTAACAGTTGAATGGGCATCAGTTTTGTTAAGAACAATGTCCATGCTAGGCCACCTAAAAACTCTCAAATGCCCATCCTACAAGAAGCACCTTTGTTTGAGTAGAGTAAATTTGATTCAAATCACATGGTATATATGAATAAAGTCGAGAGAAAAATAGTTTTACGCAAATTTTACTAAAAATATGTTGAATGAAAAAATATCCGATTAAATTGCAAACAGAACACATACAAAAATGAGATACTTCAAAGGCATAAAATTTGGCTTGCTTAGCTGAAATAATAATTACAGAAAAGTAACTAATATGAACCAATAATAGAAATCAATAGTATAAATATTATTAAACAAATTTATATTAAGGCGTGATAAGTTTCATGTATCATGAACATTATGTAGAAAATAGAGATATAAATGAGGAAAAGATTTCTGAAGTTAAAATCAAATGAATCAAATTAAGAAGTGCCTAATGTGTACTAATGCAATAAAAAGATATCACTGGTACTTAAAACTATATATTATAAAGCAACAAATGGTGGGCAATGCTGCATGGATCCGAGTGTTGAGTAGCAAAAAATTGTCAATATCTAAGTTAAGTGATAATATATATATATTATATATATATATATATATATATAAGATGTCTTTGTCGGCAAACCAGTAAGGGTAAATTAGGACTTGTGTTGAGAAACCTGCATGTTAAAAAGCAGATCGATAACTTAGCATGAATTGTCAAGAGATGACAACAAGCAAAGAAAACTAGACCTAGACATGCTTAAGGATGGCAAGGATGGATGGCTCTAGAGTCCTAGCTAGAAAAAACAGATGCTTGGACTTGAAATCATATGCTGATAAAAATTGAAATATAGGCAGCAATGTAAAAACAAGAAAATTTTATGCTTATTTAGCAGGTGAGAAATCAATATTAGAAAGCCTTTAAAGGTGATTTGTATGCTGTAAAATACCTTCCTAAATACTGTATAATTTTTTTTAGTTGTTTAAAGTATACTCTTTTATATATTTAGCCGTTAGTGAAGGAATAAAATGAGAGCAATTTTAGAATATACAGATACCAAAACTTGGTTAGGATTCTTCTATTGTTCAAACTTCCTCTGATCACCTTCCTATTTTCCTTTTCCCATGTCTGAATATATGTTAAATCCATCTCTAGAACTAATGATCATGAATTCAAAAGATCAAAAAAATATATATATATAAAAGAGAGCTCCAAAACCTCCGCGTCTCTTATCGATTGGAAGGAAGGAACTACCTAAAGTAATCACAAGCCATGAAGACTTTCATGAAAGCGGATAAAATATAGACCACCAAATAGAAGTCCCATCAAGGTCCAAGGATCAAAATTATTAGAAATGTTTGGAAAAAGACACCATGGTTATGTCATATTTGCAAAAATTCATGATGCCAGAAATATGTGAACCATACATATGTTTCTAGCATCAATTATAGAAACTTGGAAAACCATAAGAAAAATTTATTTAAAGATATGAGATATTGCTCTCAAATCAAGGTAAAACTCTACAATAAAGCAAGTTAATCTTTCATTCATTATGTATTACAATATAATAAAGAAATTTTTTTGGAGCTATAGACTAATACAAAGAAAAAAAAAAATGAAAAGTAAAGATCATATATATTTAAAAGGGTTATGTATAAAGAGAGAAAATCATTGAGATTCTTGTACGCCTAAATATTAAAGTTCATCAAAACTGTATTCAAAGACTTAAAAGAGAAACACTTCCCCATCTCAATCAACCTTTCTCCTTGGTAAGAATAGAAAAGGGATGAAAACTACCAAGTTGGAAGCAACAAGCTTGGAATACTCAACCATGGCACATCAGGGAATACACATCAAGGACAGATTTCCACATAAAAGATCAAGAATAAAGAGCAAAAACTCATCACAAATAAATTCCCTGATGCAGGCATCATTTAAGTGTCTGCCCCAAAAGGACACGAGAGCTGATCGGTTGTACCAGTCCAATTTTCTCTGGCCGACTTAGTAATTCCAGCTTCTAAGGCTGGTCCGCCCCTCTGTTGACTTCTTTCCTAAACTAGCATTAGTAATAGAGTTAATTTGCTATGGGATTATATATATGTTTGCTTTGGAGTGATTTTAAACCGCTTTTCTGATTTTATAAATTTAGAAAGTTGCTCTTAGGTTTCTCTCCATTAGGAGTGTTGCATCCTTGCTCTGACAAGTGGTGTATTTCTATCTTGTTAAAGTGCAGGGGATGGATCTTCCCAACATCATTTCTTCTAAAGATCAAAGTCACTGACACCTCGTTACGCCCTCAACCAATGCCAACAATCATTGCTCTTCGTTGTTCCCCTCCTCTTTTCCTTCAAATATGATTATAGGCATCCTCATCTCTATCCACAACATTCCAAGGCCTTGATCCCACCAAACACTATCTTCAAAAAAACCATTCAGTTCACCCCATGGTGTAATTATTGCAAAAAAAAAGAGATGAGAAAAAAAATTTAATGATAAATCTCAAAATCAAATGAAAGATCTAAAGGAATGAGCAAAGTTCATTCTGCTTAAGTAGTTGTTTGTTTTGAAGTAAAAAAAGTGCAAAGCAATCCAAAATGCAGCGTTTTTAATAACATTGATTTTAGTTTGATGCAAAAATAAATCCAAAGTAGAATTTTAATGAATTCCAAACTCACCTCATATGTCAGTTGTGGCCTATTCCAAGTTCAACCAATTTGGCCATGTTCTAAATACTCTGTTGAACTATCATTGCCATTACTGCACCAACCACCGCCTATCATCGACCACCAACCATCACTCTCTGTTGCCATCGCCACAGTTAGCCTCCAACATTAGCAACCATGCCGTCAATCGACCATCATCCTCACCACCCAACATCAGCCACCTCCAACGTCAAATTTTGTATTGAATTTAGTTTACTTCAAATCAAACACATAAAAGTAATCTTATGTATCTATTTTACACTTAACAAATATTTCTATTTCAAATACACTACATTCCATTTTCAGCAAACCGAATGACCCCTAACTCTCTCTAAGCCCTCTAGATCATACCCTCTAGCACCAATAAAAAATTTCTAACTCTTATAATATTAACGTCTCAAAATTCCTTTCTAACATCTAAGTTGTAGACTAAGGAGTCACTAATTGCACTACAAATTATGTAGATTTTTCTGAAACCTGCCCCATTGTAACAAAAGAAAAAAATTAGGACAGTCAATGGATCTCTTATGATGGTTGCAAGATAAGAAATAATTTCCCTTTCTCCCTCTTATAACTTAAGAATACAATACATGTTCCTAACATTATTGCCAGTATACTGTCCATTAATGAATTAATTAAGACAAAAATTGTTGAATAAACTTCTCTATTGTTCACCAACTTTTCCCAATCTAAACTATGGGAAAGATATTTGGACAAGCTAGATCAAATGATGAGTTGCACTTTTAACCAATAATGAAAAAAGCAATTTATATCTATAACCTATGTCCAAGACAATGAATAAAGATTGATATTTGGAATCACCATTATCATTTATGCAATCCTTCTTTTCAAATCATAAAAAGAATATTTCCTCGTTATATTGAAAATATTCCTTGTCAAACCTGTGAATTTAGTAAATATCATAGGGTTTCCATTCTTAATTCAAGATCATCAAGTCCTTTTGCCTTAATTCACTCTAATATTTGAGGTCCATTTAGAACTTCCAACATTTTAGAAGCAAAAGAATGTATAATTTTGGCCTTTTACATAAATAGCATACAATTCTTATGTGTTTTTTTAAACAATTCTTATACATTTACATATCTCACACCGAAACTTTCATATTTAAACACAGCACTCAAATCTTTCATATCACATTAAGAATAATATTATTACCACTTTTTAAAAGGGAAATACACATTTTCATGCATAGGTTTAAAAAAATCAAAGTGTTATATATGTGAATATGAAAGTCCAAGTGTGAGATATGTAAATAAATAGAAATTGAGTGCTTAATATGTAAATTTTCTTATAATTTTTATTGATGATTGCATGTAAAAGAGGTATATATACTATTAAACAAAAATCTAATGAAATTCATTTTTTTTTCAAAGTTTTTTCTATGGATAAAAAACATTAGTTTGGGGTTGGTATGAAAGGGATCAAAATTGATTCCAAAAGAATTATTTTGTCTGATCTTATCATCATTACTTGAAAAATGAATCCTTCATCAAACCACTTGCATCAATGCCCAATAACAAGATAGAGAAGTTGAAAACAATTGAAGCCTTATTAAAGTAACTCATGCTTATTCACATTTTATTAGCCAAGTTCCTAATCGATATTGGGAAGAGGATTTTCTAACTTCCACATATTTGATTAATAGATTATCCTCCAAGGTTATTGATTTTAAAAATCTTTAAATTATCTTCTTTAGTTTGTTATAAAATATTTAAATGTTTTAAAACACAAATATATACTTTAAAAAATTCATAATACAAAAGGGGTATAACTTTTACATCCACGATAAAATTTTATCAGGCACGATCATTGAATTCCTGATTTCAAAAGATGTAACATTTGATTAAACACAATACTTTTCAATCAAACTTATCTTCATGGGAAAATAAAAGAGAAGAGAAGCGTGCAAAATTTGATACATCCTTATTGGAACTTTGTAAACACTCCACAAAATAAACAAAAATTCCCTAATACCAAAATGATTCAAGAAAACATTGTCACTCACCCATTACTAAGCTATAAAAAAGTGTTGAAGATGTTGAGTATGAAGCGTCGAGATGTGTATGCCACTGATGGAAATATTTAGAAGATTTCGGCTCAATGTCAAGAGAGTTCTTATGATCAATTTCACAGGTCCAATGGTTAAGACTCGAAGACTTTCTTACACGAGGTCCAATGTGTATACATCATCAATGTCAAGAGCGAATTCACTCAGAAAGACTTTCTTACATGAGTGTTACAAAAGATGCTAGACATGCCATTTTGGTAGGAAAAAAAACTACTCCTTAATGAAATAGAACTTTTATTAGCCTAGACTGATACTAAGACATGCAAAAATATGT